AGAACATGGTAAGTTTGGGAAACTACCATAGCAGAGTAGAGCTGAAACTCTAGAAGGTTAAATGACTTGCTTAAGATCATGTACCATAGCCTAGCCGACATCTTAATTCTCAGATTTTTTTCACAGTACCGTTTTGATGATGGCAAACAGAACTTTTCACAAAAAAAGTTAGAGTATTCAAGATTTACCATTATACAGGTCACATTTATTTGAATCTCATATATAAATCTCCTATAAATATATTTATTTGCTTCCTTCTAATTAAAGACCTTAATCTCAACTGCTTCCAGCTAGTTGCTAACAAAACAGGATAACATGTGTAGACTCTAAACATTCTTCACATCATACCATGTCATAGATTGCTCATACTTCTCACCATGATGTATTTAATTATTCCAAGAAAGGAGCTGATTTTAAATAGCTTATATTTCTTCCAGTTTACTTAACAACTGGACTCTATTTCTACTTAGGTGAAATCCTCTATTCAGAAAGAATCTTCCTCTCTATTAGCTCATCATTAAGTCAAGAGTTGCCTGTAGGGCTATCTTTTACCACCTAAAAATGACAAAGATAGCAGCATCACTGAACAAGTTAGCTCCTTTTCAAGGGTTTAATTTTTATTTCCTATTAAATAATTTTCTATTAAGTCTGGATGGTATGTTCAACATTAACAGATATTTACTGTCTACTTTGTGCCAGGCACTATGCAAGGTAATAGCAAACTAGGCAATTTGTTGTCATGGAACACAAATCAAAACAGAACTAATTGTCTCTGTACAGCAATTTTCTGAGTTGGAAAAGAAGTAACACTTGGTAATCCTCATCAGCTGGGAAATTGAAATTTTTAACCCATTAGAACACTTTAGCAGATTTTGTGCCAATTCTTTTTTGTTTAACTGAAACAATTTAGTGATTGAGTTTAATTTTTTAATGTTTAATTTTTTCTTTCTTTCTTTTTTTTTTTTTTTAGAGAGAGAGAGCATGAGCAAAGAGAGGGCAGAGAAAGAGAGAGAGAGAGAGAGAGAGAGAGAATCCCAAACGGGCTCCATGCTCAATATGGAGCCCAACACTGGGCTTGATCCCACAACCCTAGGATCATGACTTGAGCCAAAATCAAGAGTTTAAACAACTGAGCCACCCAGATGTCCCTTTACATTTTTTTAATATAATTTTTAAAGATCTCATTGTTCATTTTATTATAAAATGTGGATTAGATTAGTCTACCCCATTTGGATTCCATTTTATTTATTATTTGTTTTTAAGTTTATTTATGTATTTTGAGAGAGAGATGAGTAGGGGAGGGACAGAGTGAGGGAGACAGAGGGTCTGAGGCAGGTTCCGGGCTGATAGCAGAGAGCCCCAAGGGGCTTGCCGTTTGTAAGATCATGTCCTGATCTTACAGCTAAACTTAAACTTACAGTTTGTAAGATCATGACCTGGGCCAAAATTCAGGGTGGGGTGTTTAACCGACTGACCCACCCAGGCACCCCTAAAATTTATTTTAGTTTTGCAATATACCATCCTAAATACAATGTATAAAAAACAGCAAACTTAAGGAGACAGTTTGGTTTGCTTTTCATGTGTATTCTTACTCAAAGTGACATTTTCACAATGTAGCAACTTTATAATTTAAGATAATATATTAGTAATATTAGCTCCAGAATATTCCTGGGTTAGTACACAGTGACCCTCAACAATTAAGGTCTTTATATTTGACTGAACAGGTAAAGACTTATACATAAATCAATTGCCCTCCATCCAACATTTCCATAAGTTGATGACTGCAGTCATCGAGACTTAGAGACTGTTCTCAGTGAGCCATTCAGGTCCTAAAGGCCAAGTACTCTGCTCATTGACTCCCTGAGATGTGAAGCTGTTTTGTTGTCTTAGTGAAGCTATTTCCTAATGATCCAGACAAAGTATATTCCTCTACTTTCAAGAGAGTTTACCTTTCTTTCTCTTACTCATTATACTTCTGTGGAAACATAAACACTAAGTTATATTATTGAAGTTCAAGTTTGTCTAGACTCTTTTTTAAGAGCTTTGTCTTCATATACTTTTCCTGCAATACAACACAGAAATGTACAAGGCGTGGTCCAGGTGAAGCCCATGGATTAAATACCTGACTCCCACCTAGGCTTGAATTCCAACTCTAACGCCCACCAGCTACGTGAATCAAAGTTACTTGAACTCTCAGCACGTTGGGTTTCTTATCTGTAAAACAAGGTTATGGATAGTATCTCGTCACAGGTTGTTGAGGAAATATAAATGAGTAGACATATGTGAAGAGCTTAGAACAGTGGTGGGCACATATACTCCCAATGTAGCGATGCCTTTCTGGCCTGCTGGAGAATCAGTAAGTGAGCTAAATTACAGCGTGTATGATTTTTCAGGAGAGGATAATAATTCTTAAGTTGATTTTTGGGAAAATAAATTACCACATTTGATGACTTAGCATTTGCTTTTAAAATCACTTACTCAAATACATTATAATATTCACATTTATATAGTCTTATCTTTATAGCCTAATGTTCTCTAAAGGAATAATTCATACTTGCATATGAAACGCAGTGATCTGTGGTCTTTTAGTCTTTTCTACCCCTGTGGCACTGTGCCACCCTGAGGAGAAGTTACGTATTAAGGCCCCTAGATAAGAACTATAAACCAAAACTACATTCATAGCCTTTAGAAGACCCTATCCTGTGAAGCAAGAGTGGCAAAGAAAGGAACACCTGTGGGAATATTACTTTCCTTCATATTACTTTTTTTTAAGTTTATTTATTTATTTTGAGAGAGATGAAGGAAGGGAGGGGCATAGACAGGGGGGCAGGGAAGGGGCAGAGACAGACAGAGAGAGAGAGAGAGAGAGAGAGAGAGAGAATCCCAAGCAGCCTCCTCAAGATCAACACAGAGCCCAAAGAGGGGCTCAAACTCACGAACTGTTGAGATCATGACCTGAACTGAAATTAAGAGTCAGACACTTGGGGCGCCTGGGTGGCTTAGTCGGTTAAGCGTCCGACTTTCCGACTTTCGCTTAGGTCATGATCTCGCGGTTTGTGGGTTCAAGCCCCGCGTCGGGCTCTGTGCTGACTGCCAGCTCGGAGCCTGGAGCCTGTTTCAGTCTGTGACTCCCTCTCTCTCTGACCCTCCCCTGCTCACGCTCTCTCTCCTAGAAATAAATATAAAAAAAAAAAAAAAGAGTCAGACACTTAACCGACTGAGCCACCCAGGCACCCCTCCTTGCATTTTATCTATATGCTGATTCAGATAACATTTTGGTTGCCAGTAGACTTAAGAGAACTCAGCGACTCCATGAAATGTAATCACACTTTTATTATAGGAGTCCAGGAAGAAGAGAAAATGAAGCAGAAATTTATGTCAAGAAATAACAGCAGAGGGGTGCCTGGGTGGCTCAGTTAATTCAGTGTCCAACTCTTGATTTTAGCTTGGGTCATGATCCCAGGTTCATGGGATTGAGCTTGGTGTTGGGCTCTGCACTGAGTGATACAGTTTTCTCTTCCAGTTCTTTTCGGTTTGAGTCTTTTTTTCTTAGTTGAAGCATTGCCAATTTTTTTTTTTTTTTTTTTTTAGAAAAACTGGTCATTACTTTCAATGTTACATTGTTTATTCTGGTCTCTAGTTTATTTCTGATTTTTTGTTATTTGCTTCCTCTACTAAATTACAGCTAAGCTTCTTTTTTTAGTTCCTTGGGGGGCAATGTTATTTGAACTGTTTTTCTTAATACAAACATTTATAACATAAATTTCACTCTAACATCAGCTTTTGCTACATTCCATAGGTTTTAGAATATTGTGTTTTTTCTTTTGTTTTGACATATTTTGATTTGCCATTTGATTTCTTATTTGGCCCATTGCTTGTGCATTAGAATGTTGTTTAACGTTTACATATTAAATATTTGATATGAAAAAAATAAAATGCTTAAAGAAAGACTTTGTTAGTACCCAATCCCTAGGGTAGTTTATTAATTAGCCTTTTATCTCTGCAGAAAGGATCCCAATCAATGGCTCCTAAAATCTGGGCTGCACACTGGGATGGGTCAGTGATAACATTCCCAGCAACCCCTAGTATTCTTGTCAAATAAATTCTACTGCTATATGATGGTAAGCAGGGCTCTGAGCCAAGTCCTAGGTATAAGAGGCAACTGAGGGGAAGTGCTCTGAAACTTTCTTCCTACTTCCTACTAGTTAACTGGATGGAAAATTCTTCCAGACTTCAGGGAGTAGCTGTAGGAACTAAAGGCATGGAGGCCATTGTTTCATGACTTTTAGGTGTGCACAAGATACCCTGAGACAGTACCATGTGGCTTCCGTTATAGAAAGCTTACTTAAACACAACCAGATTCTTAAAGAAAGGATGCTGACAAAAAGACTCCTCGAACAAGTTGACATTTGAACTGTGGTCTGTGTTGAAGCAGCTTCCAAGATGGCAAACTTAGACAACAAACAGTATAAATGTTACAAAACCGAAATTGGTTGTAAATGTTCCACATTTCGGTTTTCAAAAATGTATCCTTTTTTGAATATATCAGTAGAATCCTGCCAACCTTCTTCTGATGTGAAGGTTTGTCCTTTATTTTAGCTACAGAATCCTTTTGGTACAAGAAAAAAATATTCTTTCCTTTATATTAGAATGATCATAGACAGTAATATTTAGATGTATTTGTTTTGCCAAGTACGTTTCAAAAATTGCTAACCTTACGTTGGGCCCACATTCCTAATTTTTAAATATTACTACTCCATGGCCTTAAAAAGCTTGTAAACCACTGAGACACAGTGCAGATTACAAATTCCCATTCCCAGGCTAACCATAAACTACTCATGCCTGCCATTAAAAAAAGAAAAATATATATATATACATATATATATGCACACACACACGTATCACAGTATACTATCTTTCATTTTAAAAAGAACACATTTACTCTATAAATTTTATTTCTTAAGATTTTAATTAAAATAATTTAAAGAAATAAACCACACAGAAATGTTACAAAAATACAAAAGAATTACAGGCAAACAGTGGATAATGAGAATTCTTTTAAAAGAGATACACAATAAGGAAAAAAAATTAACAGTTTTTATATACTATTCAGTCATTAATTATAAACCATAGCAGTAAAAGCTTTCCGGACATTGGCAAGAAAAGCCGAGAAATTGTTGGTCTTCCTTACATTCTCTTGAAATTCTGCTAGGCACTCAAGATGAGGAGCACTATCTGACACTAGAAGGAAAAAAAAAAGGAAGATAATTTGAATGAGATTTTTATGGAAGAGAAATGTTGCTAATTTAGATGCTTTCATCTGAGTCAAACCATTTCAATTCCATTTTACTGAAATGCTTAGCAAAGAATAACAGATACATTTGATTTTCATATCCTAACTATCTTTTGGACTTTTTCTTTGTCTAATCTCTAAATATTAAAATCTTAAGTACTACAATCGTACTTTAAATTTAAACAGATGGTAGTCGACGGATTGAAGAACTCAATGATGAAGAACAGAATACCATTTCCCATCATCTTTCTTTACATTAACTAAATTGTTTTAATAGGGGTGTGTGTGTGTGTGGGGGGTGTTTTGTTTTGCTTTTTAACTGTTAGTCAGGTTTCTCTGTAACCCTCTGGCTTGAATCCTAGCTCCTGGCCACTGGATCAAAAAAAGAATAGCTTTCAATGCCCACTTTTAAAACTTTACAATTATGGGAAAAAATCTAAGCTTTCACAAGCTTTCGTAGAAAATGTGGTTCCTATTCCTTTTTTTTTTTAATGTTTTATTTATTTCTAGGAGAGAGAGAGAGAGAGACAACGTGAGCAGGGGAGGGCCAGAGAGAGAGAGAGTCACAGACTGAAACAGGCTCCAGGCTCTGAGCTGGCAGTCAGCACAGAGCCCGACGCGGGGCTCGAACCCACAAACTGTGAGATCATGACCTAAGCGAAAGTCGGACGCTTAACCGACTAAGCCACCCAGGCGCCCCTGTGGTTGCTATTCTAAAAGTGGTATTTAGGACCTACTAATCAAGTGAGACAGAGTCACAAGTAACAGTGCACCTGTCAACATGTAGCTGTACAAAATGGTACGCATCAGGAACAAGTTTCCAGTGAGGGTGGTCAAAGGAAAAGCATGATTCAGCTTTCTCTCCCAACAATTTGGTCCCTTGTCCAAGGGGAAGAAAGTCAACCACATCAGATTTCCGGTTCTTTGGTAGAGACTGCTTAGGAAACAAGGACAAGAACCAGGACCACAGCAGAGAAAGAACAAATTTAAGCACTTGGTGCAAAATCACACTGTAGATTCTATTTTAACACACTATCAAACTCTGTGACCCCATGTAGCAAGAGAGGATATGCAAGTTGGAAAACACTAGGCATGTGGCTTTTGGGGTTTGCTTTGGAAAATTTAGCACTCATTAGAAGATATTTACAGAGAGAGAGAGAGAATTTGTACATGAATTAGATTCCTAAAATATAAATTTTCCTAAAATAAAAATTCCATGTGAATGAGAATGCAGTCACCAGGGCACATTAGGAAGCCAACTCAGCAGTCCTCCTGAGCATGTGTCTATAAGTGCTTTTAAGATGAGAACACAGGTCTAATGAGCTGAGAACCATTTTTCTGAATTCCAATAAATTAAAAATTACTTTAAAGGGGCATAAGAAGAATAAAAGAGAGATAAATATATTTCCATTCTCTTCTAGTTCCAACTATTACCAATCACACATATGCTCCATAAATCGATGCCTTTATGGCCTGCTGGAGAATCAGTAAGTGAGCTAAATTACCAATGTGTGCGATTTTTCAGGAGAGGATAGTATTTCTTAAATTGATTTTTGGGAAAATAAATTACCACATTCTGATGACTTAGCATTTGCTTTTAAAATCACCTATTCAAATACATTATAATATTCACATTTATATAGTCATATCCTTTATAACCTAATGTTCTCTAAAGGGATAATTCATACTTGCATATGAAATGCAGTGATCTGTGGTCTTTTAGTCTTTTCTACCCCTGTGGCACTGTGCCACCCTGAAGAGAAGTTACATATTAAGGCCCCTAGATAAGAACTATAAATCAAAATTACATTCACAGCCTTTAGAAGACCCTATCCTGTGAACCAAGAGTGGCAAAGAAAGGAACACCTGTGGGAATATTACTTTCCTCCATATTACTTTTTTTAAGTTTATTTATTTATTTTGAGAAAGACGAAGGAGGGGAGGGGCAGAGACAGAGAGAGAGAGAGAGAGAGGGAATCCCAAGCAGGCTCCTTAGGGTCAGCACAGGGCCCAATGAGAGGCTTAAACTCACGAAACTGTGAGATCAGGACCTGAGCTGAAATCAAGAGTTGGACACTTAACCGACTGAGCCACCCAGGCACCCCCTCCTTCATATTACTCTGTATGCTGATTCAGATAACATTTTGGATGCCAATCTTAAATTCCAGTAAAGAGAGAGGAATACATACCCTCATATTCCCTTGCTTCATTTAGGTGGAGGGAAAACATAAACGGGTTTTCAGGATGCTTAGGGTCAATATTAGTGAATATAAACTGCAACTTATCACCTGAAAAAAGATTAAATTACTTGGTATGAGAATATTTTATTGTGCCAGGGCTTTCAATGGAGATGAGCTTTCTCAGCTCTGTCCTTAATCAGTATCTAGACTGCTAAACATACATACACACACACACACACAGTATCTAGACTGCTAAACATACATACACACACACACACACACACACACACACACACACAATTTAACCAAGCCTCCAAATGTACAAGCTACAAATTAGTTTTAAATGAATTATAATTTAAACATGATACAAAAAAACACAAGTAACAAAAGAAAAGAATTACTAAATTGGACTTCATCAAAATTAAAAACTGTTGTCCTTCAAAGGACATTATCAAGGCAGTGAAAAGATAACCCACATAGAATGAGAGAAAATATTTGCAAATCATATATCAGATATGGATTTAACATATACAATATATTTTTTAAAACTCCTACAACTAAACAACTATAAGAAAAGCAATCCAATTAAAAAATGGACTAAAGACTTGAATAGGTATTTCTCCAAAGAGTAGATACAAATGGCCAATAATAAGCACATGGAAAGATGCTCAACACCACTAATCACTGGGGAAATGCAACCCTAAACTACAGTGAGATATTATTTCACATCTACCAGGACACTGTAACAAAACAAAACAACACTGTGCACGAAGACATGGAGAAATCAAAACATTGCTTGCAGGAATGTGAAATGGTGCTGCGGCTGTGGAAAACAGCTTGGCAATTCCTCAAAAAGTTTAAATATAGAATTACAATGACCCAGTAACTCCTCGGTACACACTGGGAAAAAAAAAGAATTGAGAATCAGGACTCAGATAACTATGCCAATGTTTATAGCAGCACTACTCACAACAGCCAAAAGGTGGTACTGTGTGTTCACTGAGAGATAAGCAAAATATGGCATATACATACAAGAAAATATTATTTGGTCATAAAAAGGAAAGAACTTATGATACATGCTACAACATGAATGAACCTTGAAAACATTATGCTAAGTAAAATAATCCAGATGCAAAAGGACAAATACTGTATGATTCCACCCACATGAAATCCTTAGAATAGGTAAATTTATAAACATAGAAAGTGGATTCGAAGTTATCAGGGGCTAGGGTCAGAGAAATAAGCTATTGTTTAATAAAAGAGTTTCTATTTATGGTGATAAAGAATTCTGGAAATAGTGGTGATGGTTGCATAGCATTGTGAGTGTCATGTCACAGAACTGTGCAATAAAAAAGAGTTAAAATGGCAAATTCTATGTCATGTAGGTTTACCACAATAAAAAATACTATTGAACAGGTTTGGCTTTTTCTACATAGTTATCTGGACTTCGTGCCTATTTTCCAAAAGACCTCTAATGTTCCCAAAGGAGTAAATGCCCAGTAGAAATTAAAAACGGCAGCCATAGGGGTACCTGGGTGGCTCAGTTGGTTAAGCATCTGACTTCAGCTCAGGTCACAATCTCACAGCTCATGCATCTGAGCCTCTGAGCGTCAGCAGAGCCTGGAGCCTGCTTCTGATTCTGCGTCTCCTTCTCTCTCTTCTCCTCCCCCACTCCTCCCCACACTCTCTCAATAAACATTAAAAAAAATTTATTAAAAAATGGCAGCCATGAAGTAGAAACTCACATGCATTTTAGTTTTTCTCTACAGAATTAAAAATTAGGAAATCTCATTTAAAAACTGCTTTTAACTATAAAAAAGGAATGTTCAGAAACTTTGAAAAACATTTGTCTTGAATTTTTATTCAAAATGAAATAATTATGTCAGTACACCAGATTTTTAAAAGTGTTAATAGTTGTTGGCAAAGATGTGGAGAAAGGGGAACCCTCTTGCACTGTTGGTGGGAATGCAAACTGATGCAGCCACTGTGGAGAACAGTTTCTTAAAAAGTTAAAAATAGAACTGCTCTATGATCCTGCATAGAGTAGGATAAAAAAACTGCACTACTAGGTTTTTATCCAAAGGATACAAAAATATTGATTCGAAGGGACACATTCACCCCAATACTTTTAGCAACATTATCAACAATAGCCGAATTATGGAAAGAACCCAAACGTCCATTGTCTTTTGAATGGTGCGCGCGTGCACGCACACAGGAATATTACTCAGCCATCAAAAAGAATGAAATTTGGCCATTTGCAATGACATGGATGGAGTTAAAGTGTATTATACTAAATGCAATAAATCAGAGAAAGACAAATACCATATGCTTTCATTCATATCTGAATCTTAAGAGACAAAATAGATGAATATATGGGAAGAGGGGGAATAAAGAGAGGGAAATACACCGTAAGAGACTCTTCACCTAAAGAACAAACTGAAGGTTGCTGGAGAGGAGGTGGTTGGGGGATGGGCTAGATGGGTGATGGGTGTTAAGGAGAGCACTTGATGTGATAAGCACTGGGTGTTATACATAAGTGATGAATCCCTGGGTTCTACTCCTGAAAGCAGTATTGCACAGTATGTTAACTAACTAGAATTTAAATAAAAACTTGAAAAGAAAATAAAAGTGTTAATGGTAATGGAAGGGACGTATGCCAAGGAAAAAAGACATCATAAGATAATGTCTCTTCTTTAAAAACAAAATTTCTTGACTTTGAGGGCTATGAGAAAGTTCTAATTCTTTTGTAAATGTTTCTTTATTTATTTTGAGAGAGAGAGGGATAGAGAATGAGCCAGGGAGGGGCAGAGAGGGAAAAAGAGAATCCCAATCAGGCTCCACACTGTCAGCATGGACCTCAACACGGGGCTGGAACCCATGAACTGTGAAATCATCACCTGAGATGAAACCAAGAGTCGATGTTTAACTGACTGAGCCATCCAGGCGCCCTGAGAAAGTTCTAATTTTAAATCTAAAAATAATTTTAAAGCTTTCTGACCCAAAACATCCCAGGATGACAGCAAGTCCAACAGATCAAAAATTCATAGCTGGACCTTGTTATTTCCCTCTAATCAAAAGGTTAATATTTTGGGGGGGTGCCTGAATAGCTCAGTCGGTTAAGTGTCTGACTTCGGTTCAGGTCATGATCTCACGGTTCGTGAGTTCAAGCCCTGCATCAGGCTCTCCGCTATCAGTGCAGAGCCTGCTTCAGATCCTCTGACTCCCTCTCTGTGCTCCTCCCCCACTCATGCTTTTTTTCTCTTTCAAAAATAAATAAGCATTAAAAAAAGGTTAATATTTTTTATTAAAAGCTTACTCCAACAGATGGGGGGCCCACAAACAAGACTAACAGATATATCAATGAAGAAACCAAACAATCTAGGAAATATAATATATATTCAGGATGAAAGTTTACCTGTTCATTAATCATCAAAGAAATGCACTTTAAAAAATGTGCCAATTATATCTAGTTTGCTGCCAAAACAGCAACAACAAACAAACAAAATACAATTCTGGCAAGAATATAATGAAGTGGGTACGCTTTACATCGTAGAGAGGTATGCACAAAAGAATTCACGATGCTATCCTTAGAATCTTAGAAAGGCCTCCTTGCAAGCTGGTCCTTGGCTGGTGCATTGGGAGTCCCCCAAACCACCCTAGGTTTGAAGATTCACTAAGAGAACTTGTAAGACTCACTAGAGGGTCTTACTCAGGGCTATAATTCATCACAGTGAAAGACTATGGCAAAATCAGCCAAGGGAAGAACACATGGGGTGAAGTCCAGGCAAAACCAGCACAAGCTTCAAGAGTCTCTGATGAGCTTGCCTGGTAGACAACCCTTCCCGTGTATTGTCACATTCGATGCAAAAGGAACTGAGATGTCCGGTGTGACTATGCTGGGTTAGGGCTCTTAAAAGTTTACGCCTGAAAAAAGTGTTTCTTTGAGACTTTGCCCCAGTGCCTTTTTGGGGCGGTCTTGGAATTTATTGTAGACTCTGCCATAAATCTGAGCTGTCAATATGATTGACCCTATGCTGAATCTTGTAAGTCTTCCTAGCGAATCACCGATCCTGACGGTGATCTTGGGGACTGCTAACACAGTGAGTAGTGCTGTAAACTGGCACATACACCACACATTACAGTCATTGAAATATTTACATGCTTTAACCCAGTAATGCCTCCCTGGGAATTCCCCGGGAATTATATAAAAGAAATGGAGAAGTCTATATTTACTGTAGTACTTCCGAAACTGAAACATAGGCAGACTCTGAATGTTAAGTTAGAAACAATACCTGTACTAGGTAGATAAAAGATTGGATAAATTAAGATACATTAATGGAATGAATTATTACATCGCTATTTTAGAATTACCATGGGAAGACTACAGCAACTGGAAAAATGCCGATCATACAATACCAGTAAGAACAAGGAACAAAAATTACTTTCATGTTGGCAATCATGCCAAACATACGTTTATTAAAATACTGGATAATAAATAACCAAGGCATTAGTAATTACGTTATGGTGATAAAAATTTTAGATTCTTCCCTATTTTCTAAAAAGTTAATAATGTGGTCATTATTTTATTTGAAAATATTTTTAAAATTCTCCTCTACTTAAGACAAGCCTTTCTAATCTCGTATGTTTTACTTACATTAATATACTCACCATAAATTTTTCGAATTTCTAGTCCAAGTCGATCTTTATACAAGTCTGCGGATTTCTGTAGCCTTTTCAGTCTCTCTTCATTAGCTTTGTTAGCCGCAGAAATAGCTATGATTAAAAAAAAGAATACACATATTTGAATATAAGAGATTTTTAGACAGATGCTTCGCAGCATAAAGAGTGTGCTTAATAGTTCCGGGCAAAGAATGTGTGATCAAGAACTTTGGTGCGTAAATTATACTATGGTTTCTCCAATGAAATTGTCTCCCACTTTGTTGAGTTAAGCTCCCATATCAATTGCATGATGACTCAGGTTACATTAAAAATCAAAAGGACCCTTAAGTAAAACAAAAGAAAATAAAACCCACTTATTTAACTTCAGACAGTTTTCTCGCAGAAATGAATGGCTGGCTATGCCCCTAAGGTATGTTATCCACTTTTAGCAATGAACAGGAGAGAAGGCAAGAGAAAGATAATTGTGAACTATCACCACTTTGAAATTTAGATTAATGTTTTAAATATGCATACAACTGGAAACTTACTTTCCTTCTTCTTCGCATATTCTTCCTTAAGCTCCTGAATATTTGCAGTCAATACTTCTAGTTTCTCATTTTTGTCTTTTATTTCAGCAATCAACTTTAACAAATGGTCTTTTTTTTCTTGAATTAGCTTATTACGCCTAGAGATCTCTGTAAGAAGCACAAAGTATTAGCTAGGATATATATATATATACACTTTGCTCTCCAATATCTATTGCTGATAAGAAAAGACTAAAACATTGACTTTCATTAGGATTAATAATGTTTTATTTACTTATGCATTTATTTATTTTTGAGAGAGACAGAGAGTGAGTGGGGGAGGAGCAGAGAGAAAGGGAAACACAGAATCTGAAGCAGGCTCCAGGCTCTGAGCTGTCAGCACAGAGCCTGATGCAGGGCTCGAACTCAGGAACTGTGAGATCATAACTTGAGCCGAAGTTGGATGCTTAACCGACTGAGCCACCCAGTTGCCGCAAGAAAGCTTTAATTGATAAGTGCTTTCTAATGGTTCAAAAATTATAAAGAAAAGAAAAAAAATCCTATTCTTTCCTATTTACCTTTGAAAATAAAAATGAGGAGATAAAAATACTTTTTAAAATGAGAATACCAAATTAAACCACAAAAAGAAAATCAGGTCACGACGCTTGCAGCTCTGCCCTTCAAATAAGTACATAAATAAAGCCCACCATCAAAGACAACCAAAATGTGGACAATGTTTTTGCACAGTACTTTAAAGAAACAAATCATTATAATGCAGTATAAATGATTCTGGAAAATACCATAAAGACAGAAAGAAGGGAAGGAAGAGAGGGAAAGAGACAGAGAGGTAGGAAGGGTAAAACCTCATTTACATTAATAACAAAACATCCAGGAATATATAGGCCCTGCGTGAAAAAAAAAATTGTAAAACTTGTCTAAGACAAATAACCTACATATATGGAGAGACAGTTTATGCTTCTAAATATTACAAAAATGTCAGTACTTCCCAAATTCATTTCTATATTTAATGCAGTCCCAATGGACTCTGGAGGGAAGACAAAGGGAGGATCTAACAAAAGTAATTATAAAATATATCTGATGAGTACACAGGTGAGCATAGTTAAGGAAATGTGGTAAGAAAAATAACAAGGAAAGGTACTTGTCCTATCAGATTTAACATGTGTGATTGTGACACTTTTAATACAAAAACGGGGTTACTAGCTGAAGAAATGACATACAGCTCAGTTAAACAAAAAAGCATTTCCAAACACTGGTATATTTAGGAAATTAATATGAAAAATGAAATATAATAAATCAAGTGGTAGATGGTTCCCCAAACTGTGCTGAAATCCAAAATAAATTCCATATATATTAAATATTTAAATATAAAATGAAATCTTGCAAAACCTAAAAGGCAGTATCTGAATATAAAATTAGCCCTATGCAGAAAGATCTTTTTATTCAAAGGCAAAAAGAAACCAAAGAGAAAGTCATATACACATATATATATACACATATATATATACACATATATATATACACATATATATACACACACATATATATATACACACATATATATATACACACATATATATATATACACACATATATATATACACACACATATATATATATACACACACACATATATATACCAGCTACATAATAGTTAATAAGTGGGCAAAAAACCTCATATTTGATTCAAATAAACATAAAAGCCAAGTATACACCAGGAACTTTGTTTAACACCTTATATTTCCATAAATTTACTTAAATTTCATCATAATACATATGTAGTTCTAATTTAAAAAAGGAAAAGGCTCAGCAGTTGAGTAACTTGCCCAAAAGCTTTATGTGCTAGGACGCAAAAAATAAGACCTGGATTCAAACTCAGGACTTGACTTTAAAGGTCATGCTAGAGGCCATTAAACATCCTCCCTGAACAGTTCTTAATCTAAAGAAGACACAAATATAAAGTCCTAAGACAAAAACAAAGGAATAAACAAAGAAAATGTAGAATGCAGATGGCTAATAAATATGAAAGACAATTTAACCTGAGAAGTAATCACAGAAATGCAAATAAAGCAGTAACATACCAACTTTCGTTTATTACAACAATGTTTACAAAAATGACAGCTAGTGTTGAGAAGAATGGAAAATACTAGAGTCCTTGTGGAATATTTTTGACATTCAAAAATACAAGTTTTAAGGATATACATGTCCTTTAATCCAGTTATTTTGTTTTTACAAGGTAACCTAAGAAAATAAGATGTGTGCAAGTATTCATATACAAAAGATTGTTTTCAGTATTATTTATAATGATGAAAAACTGAAAACATACTAGATGGCTAATGAGTAAATTATTAAATAAATATGGTATATCAATAAGGTAGAATATATTCTCAGGGGCACCTGGATGGCTCAGTTAGATGAGCATCCAACTCTTAATTGTGGCTCAGATCATGATCCCAGGATTGTGGGACTGAGCCCAGGATCAAGCCCCACATCAGGCTCTGCGCTGACTGTGGAGCCTGCTTAAGGGTCTCTCTTCCTCTGCTCCTCTCCCACTCTCTCTCTCTCAACAGACATGGGTGTGCAGATACCTTTTGAGTTAGTGTTTTTGGTTTCCTCTGATAAACACCCAGAAGTAGAATTACTGGATCATACGGTAGTTTTAATTTTCTGAGGAACCTCCATACAATTTTCCAGAGTAGCTGCTATGGAAAAATGCACTTAAAATAAAAATTAAGGAGGCATGTATGGCAAAAGAGGTGCATATTAAAAGTCCAAAAGTCTCAGTTCCATCTGTCTGGCTCTTCAGTTGTTATCCAAGGACCTTGGTCAAATTAGAACTTTGGGGGCTCTCTATAAAAGGAGGTTAGTAATGGCCACCCCATTTCTTTAACGCCCAGGGTCACAGTATCCAATAATAATATGGAAACTTCTAAAGTATTAAGTGATATATAAATACCATATATGTCAGCGTTTTTATTGTAACATTTAAAGAACTATATGGATTTGTGCCAAATGTAAGGGCCCTTGATACAGTGTAACTATTATGTGTACATATCAGCTGTTTCTTCTATTCTCTAGGGCAGGTACTTCAAACTTTCACCATACTCACCACACAAATCCTCCCTTGAGTTTTCACTTCCATAAAACCTTGTTTTATGGTACACTAGAAAGAGCAGACATTTGGCTGTACTCCTAGGTCTTGTATCTATCAAATGTATGACCTTAGCCAAGTTTCTTAACCTCAGTGAACTTCCATTTCTTCATCTGAAAAAGGGGATAACTTCTGTCTTGTAAAGATTTCAGGGATATTTTTGTGTTGTGTTGTGTTGTGTTGTGTTGTGTTGTGTTGTTTTGAGAGTGAGTGCGAGAGGACAGGGGCAAAGGGAGATGGAAAGAAAGCATCTTAATCAGGTTCCAGGTCTACCCTGGAGCCTGACCAAGGGGGCTCCATCCCACTACCCTGGGGTGATGACCCGAACTGAAACTGAGTCAGATGCTTAACTGACTGAGCCTCCCAGGTGTCCCTAGGATTTTAGGATATAAGAGCCTGGTCAGTAAACGCTTTTCACTTTGAACAGATGATCCTCCTCCTTATAAGAATACAGAAGCAACAGATGCTCTAGGCAGGCCAGAATTTTTGGCCAATTTGTTCTCTGCAGTATCTTCCTAGAAGATGCAGAGTAGCTGCTCAACAAATACGTGGTGAGGGAATGAGTTCCCTCAACCTTCCTTACTCCCCAAATGTATCTAGATCAGTGTCCTCTCCTGAGAGGAACAGTGGCTCCTTCTCCAACACATGGTTTATCTCGATTGCTTCCCGTAAAGGAAAGAACTGAAGAACTCCTGCTGTTTAAACTCCAGTCTATGATTTCCCATGGGAAAACAAACTTGTTTTTCAAATAAATGTCATGTACACATCAGCATTGATGATCATAAGCACAATGATGAATTTAAAAAGGGCAGAATACACGCAAAATGATGCCATTTATATAACATTCAAAAACACAATACTAAATATTAATAGGTTAGTTCTGGAAGGTGGGATCAGAGAAAAGTATTATATAAGATGTTCTATTTCTTAAGCTGGGTTGTAGGTACATAAATGTTTATTATTTTTATATATGTATGTGCATATATACACACACACAATACACTGGGGTTTTTTCCCTATTTTCTTTTTAATTTTTTTTAATGTTTATTATTTTTGAGAGAGAGAGAGAGAGAATGTGAGCTGGATAGGGGCAGAGAGAGAAGGAGACACGAAATTCAAAGCAGGCTCCAAGCTCGGAGCTGTCAGCAAAGAGCCTGATGCAGGGCTTGAACTCACGAACTATGAGATCATGGCCTGAGCCAAAGTCGGACATTTAACCGACTGAGCCACCCAGGTGCCCCTCTTCTTTCTTTTTCTAAGTAGGCTTCATTCCCAGTGCAGAGCCCAACATGGGGCCTGAATTCATGTCCCCGAGATCAAGACCAGAGCTGAGATTGAGTCAGTTAAGTGATCCACCTAGGTGCCCCATAATATATTGTTTTACTTGGGTGAGGAATTGCATAAAGATGTTTAATCTAAGAAAGGCTGTGATCTATAGTTTGTCACCTACGATTTTGATATTCCAGAAACATCTCAACCATTCGTTCCTCTTCCTTTAATTTCACAGACAGCTTTTCTGAAAGAGAAATCGGAATTGAAGTTTCAATTCAGCTGAAATAACATAAAAAAGCAAACAAGAACAAAAAACAGCATGTTACAAGTTAACTCGAGTTACCTGTCAGCGCTTTGATGGAGTCTTTGTAGGAATCTCTTAGTCCCATCATTTGACAGGTTGTGTCACTGACAGTGCTTCTGAATTTATTCCAAAATTCATTTATGCTTTTATCAAATAGTGCCAGTTCGTCATCTATCATTTTGTAAGAATATGCTACAAAACAAATAAAACGTTGATTGTATTTTTAATGAGGTATTGAAGTAAAATCAAGCTCATATTCCAATCAAGCACATTTTGGCAGTTTGATCTTTGCTAGCAAATAGTTAGCAGCTTTTTTTAAAAAGGATATTTTATTTTTTAAATATTTACTTATTCTTGGGGCGCCTGGGTGGCTTAGTCGGTTAAGCGTCCGACTTTCGCTTAGGTCATGATCTCGCGGTTCGTGGGTTCGAGCCCCGCGTCGGGCTCTGTGCTGACTGCCAGCTCAGAGCCTGGAGCCTGTTTCAGTCTGTGACTCCCTCTCTCTCTGACCCTCCCCTGCTCACGCTGTCTCTCTCTCCTAGAAATAAATAAAAATTTTTTAAAAAATTTTTTGAAAAAAAAAATTTACTTATTCTTGAGAGAGAGAGAGTACAAGCAGGGGAGGGGCAGAGAGGAGACACAAAATCCCAAGCAGGCTCCAGGCTTCGAGCTGTCAGTGCGGAGCCCATATGGGGCTCAACTTCAGGATCATGACCCGAGCCTAAGTAGGATACTTAACCTGACTGAGGCACCCAGGCGACGCAACAGCTTACTTTTAACTCTAGATATTCCAGGGCAGATCAAGCCATCTGGACTTAACTACAGTTAAAATGGAAGATTCCAGGAAAGACAACTTACCTCCTAGGGAATTGTTAGTACTATAATTGCACAAGACACTCCTACAGCTCTGTGACCCTGGAAAGTAACTCTGCCTCCGTTACGTCACAAGTAAAATTCCTAACTTTTAAGGCGTTCCCGATTCTGACCATTTTCATTCCAGCTGGGACTGCCAGCCAGGCCCCAAATGGACGGAGGGCCGGCACCCTCACATAGGATAAGACCCTATGAGACATATCTAACCTGCCTCTCCCTCTCACCCAGATCAGAAGAAGAAGTAGCACTAAAAAGGCGACTGGAGTGGGAATTTAGGAGGTTTAGCCCAAGAAAGGTACAAGGCACCCTGAACTCTCTGGGCCTTAGTGTCTTACGTAAGAACGTCCGGGAAGACCCCAGGCCCCGACAGTTTTCTGTAACGCCAATACCACCCCAATAACTTAAAACCTTTCCAAGAGGGCCACGGACATCTCGTTCGCCGGAACCCGGAACTCCGGCCTCACTGCTGCCCCCGCCAGCGCAGCCCAGAAGTGCAAACAACAAAGTGGTACATTTCACTGACTTCGCTCCCGAAAACACTTCTAGCCCAGGAATACACTTTCCCCCACGGCGACAGACAGGTCGGAGAGCCCTGGTCAGCTCCCACCTCTCTCACCTTTTCCAGGAGGCCTGAGCCCCGCTGCCAACCCACACGAGACCTGAAACGATCCAAGCCAACAGCCAGTCTCCAGACCCAGCTCCCACAGACCCGCCAACTTTCCTATTTCAAATCTTAGGGCGTCTTGTTCCTCCCGCCCCCGGAGCCCATTCGCCTTCAGATAGGCTGATAACTAGGCTCTGCATGAAGGGATTGGTTAATCTAGCCCTCCGGGCTTCTCGCGGAAAAAATAGGGGAAAGTGCATTCTGGGATTTGTAGTTTTTTTCCTGAGAGACCGTTGGACTCTCAGCTCTGTTTTGTGAAGTGTTAATAGCTCCCAGAGGACTCGCCTCTGCACAAATCACACATCCGTTTCAAATAAAGGTTTCTGCAACTAATTTAAATATTGAAATTGAATCGCGTTCTGTTGCTAAGTTTATACCCTCTTCTCTAATGCTCCCTGTAGCTTAAAGCTAATTAAAAATGCTAAAAGCTAATAAAACACCATTTTTTTAATATGCCTCATTATTTAATAACTTTTCATTGGGAAGTGGTTGGACCATTACTGTGTATTGGCTTCTAATATGAACATTTCCAAAATTTCTTGATGCTTTTGTTTTCGACCACGTGAAACAGAAACAAAACGCAGTACCTAGAACTGGTAGTCCTTGCGCCGGTCGAAACTCAATGACACAAAATTTTTCATGGGCGAATTTAGTGTTACCTATCGTCTCTGACAGTGCGTTGTGTTTAAAAGTGTAAAGAAGCAGGGAAGCCAGAAGTGATTCAAGGTTTTTAACCTCGGTATTTGTAAGAATGGTGATGCTGTTGGTAGAAAAGAAAATGTCTTCATGGTTGTTTGGGTGTATTGGAGAAGGGGTGTTGCAGGGAGGCAGGGGCAGGAGTTACTATTTTTTTATCTTATTTTATTTTTTTATTTTATTTTATTTTATTTTATTTTATTTTATTATTTCATTTCATTCCAATCTATTCTATTCCAATCTATTCTATTCTATTCTACTTTTCCTAAATAGTTTATTGTCAAGTTGGTTTCCATATAACACCCAGTGCTCATCCCCACAAGTGCCCTCTGTACCCATCACCCCCCTTCCCCTCTCCCCCACCCTCATCAGCCCTCAATTTGTTCTCAGCATTCAAGAGTCTCTCATGGTTTGCCTCCCTCCCTCTCTCCCATTATTTTTCTCCTTCTTCTCCCCCATGGTCCTCCGTTAAGCTCCTCCTAATCCACCTATACGTGCAAATATATGGTATCTGTCTTTCTCTGCCTGACTTATTTCGCTCAGCATAACACCCTCAAGTTCCATCCATGTTGCTACAAATGGCCAGATTTCATTCTTTCTCATTGCCATGTAGTACTCCATTGTATAGATAAACCACATCTTCTTGATCCATTCCTCAGTTGATGGACACTTAGGCTCTTTCCATGTTTTGGCTGTTGTTGAGAATGCTGTTATGAACATTGGGGTCCATGTGCCCCTATGCATTAGCACCAGGAGTTACTATTTTAAAGTGCTGAGTTTGAGAGGATATTGTTGGGAGATCTAAGTGTTAATGTTCAGGCATTTTACTTCTCTAGTTAATCAATACTGGCTAACTGCTCCAACTCTGCAGTAAGACTGCCTGAGTTTGAAATCCAGGCTCCAACATTTACTAAGGTTGTCCTTGGGCAAGCTACTTGGCCTATTGGACCTCAGTTTCCTCATCTGTAAAATGAGAGTAATAATAAATAATAATACCTTCTTCTTTCATATACCCAATGTGAAGATGAAAAGAGATAATAAATGCAAATGCCTTAGAAGAGGTTTCTATCACATAAGTACTCAAAATAGTTTCTTGTTTTTATGATCTTATGCCCTAGCTACCCTCTTATGCAAGAGATTGTCATATTATAACACATACAAATAAGGTTTTAAATAGAACAAAATCTAAGTTGGCAAAGAAATAGAGATCTTGCAATTGAATACTCATTTTAGCTAAGGCGGGGCCTATAGCTCCCATTACAAGACAATCACACTACATATTGAATTCTGATTTAAAAAACTTGCATTCTGGTATGTCTGAAGAAGTATAGAACACATCTCTCCCACCCAATCCAAGTTGAATTAATTAATTAGTTAGGTGTGGTTATTTACCATTAATAATAAGACCATTTTATAATTTGCCAATATAAGAAACATGACAAATTTAATTTCCACTTAAGGGATACTAAATTCCAAACAATAGTCTGAAAACAGTGTCAGTAATTTCTTTAGGCCATAACTAGTTCAAGATAATAAATAACTTCCTCAGCTTGGAATAATGCTTGGACAATTCTCTGATTCATTCCTAATAGAATCTGGCAGAGCATGGCTGATCCATGAGCAAAATGGAAAAAAGTTTATTAGCAAGGCTTTGAGATATTCATGACTGACACAAGGCTACAACTGTATCTTTTAAACTAGGGTGAACTTTGATGGGTTACCCTTGTTGACTCCAATGATTAGTGGGCAAAAACCTCTCATGATCCTTAGAATAAATTCTTATTGTTCACAGAAAATCTGTTCTTTTCCACTCTTCTAGTTTTCTAACAATATTTTGGAGGGCCTACTAGAACAATTCATTGCTATCTTGCAGAACTTCAAACTGGAAGTAACTAGAACTCTATTAAAGTCACCTGCTATGTTCCTTGAGGGCCAAAAAGAGACACAAGCTATTCAAATTGAATTTGCTAAAGGATAGGCAAGATGCATGAAAGCTGTACTGGTCAGGACCTCTGAGTAAATGAAATCGATTCACTATTTGCCCCCTTCTTGGTAAAGCTGAGGAGGGAAGAAGAATAGGAAAGAACACAGAGGATATGCACTTTAAAGAATGGAAAATAAATATGACTTGTATTATGGAGTTGAAATTATTATTTTCATCTCTGACCATGACATGTTTGTGAAGGTAAAGCCCTTGATTATAGGCCAAAAGGTCTTTATTACTATTTTGCTTTCATTATCGTTAAAGGATTCAAACACCAACGATAAAATAAACGTTTAAATAGCCTTCTCAGGAGTATCTGATATTGGGCATTCTATCCTAAAAGCTAAATTCATACCAACAAAATCAGGGCGAGTTATTATTAATGTTTAACACGTCACAATGTAAGTCAGCTTCCAGCCGACGGACTAGTAGGCTTAGACATATAGCTTCCTGTAATATCTTCTTTCATTTCAGAAATATTTGTCCAAGGATTTCTGATGTCTAGTAATATTTATGTTAAAGTAAAATTGTATCCATCGGGCATCTCAGACCTTCAGCTGAATGAATAATGATGCTCATTTCTAAGGTTTTCACTGATCCAAATTAGTGAATACAGTACTTAATAAGATTCATAGAGGTGTGCTGACTGGATCACCAGCTCAATGAATTACTTACTGGGTTTTTACACTGGTCCTTATTAAGCTGCTGAGTGAAGGTTCTAGCTCTCTTTAGAGCTTGGAATGGGGCAAGTGATTACCCCCCACTGATATACAGTCTTTAGGGCAGTCCCTGAGTGTCTATTGTCTTTTATTGTTTCTCAGGGCCCATCCCCAACAAAGAAGTGAGGCAGAAACTTCTATGTCATTTGCCAAAATGCTCCTCTCTAGAAGACAAGGTGAATGGCTTCTCTCTACTCCCCCAAGCAGAGCTAGAAACAACCAACGAAGCAATCAGCTCTTCTTTCCACTCAGCATGGCTTTCTCAGCTTTAAAGAGGGGAAAGCAGAAGCTGCCCCATCACAACCCCATACAACACCACCATCACCATTCCCGTCATACATACCTGCCTTTCATTCCAACCAGGATTTTAGGGGTGTCTATTATGTCCTATGTATTGAGCTGGGCACTATAGTCTCTGGGATATATGGTCTGGAACCAGGGTAGGGTGGGGAGCAGGAAATAGGCACACATTCCCAGTCTGGAGAAGTTTCTGGGCCATGGTTACAGAAGCTTTGGTCAGACTGACTGAAAGCTCCATTGTTTCTCCCCTGAAATCTTAATCCTTTCTCTAGTGGGTGAAGGATCATGGGGCACAAGAAGAAAGGTCATTGTTCCCTGTGACACATTCCTTTGCTGAGTAGATACTTTCCATCTTGGGGGCAGAGTTCAGGATTAAAATGATAGTAAGCAATGCCACGGTTAAGATGAAAAGTTTTCCACTTCTCTGGATATAAGGATCTCTTTATGACATATACACTTATACTGACTTCTCAAAATGCTAATATATGTACTTTCAATATCCATTCACTGACAAAATTAAAAATGATAAAAACTACTATGAATTCAGAAGAGGGGAAAGCCCTTTGGGTAGATTCCAGGTTAAGAACGGGTAATAGAAAATGCTTGCATTCAAAAAACTCTTGACCAGAAACTTTAAATTCTCTAGATCTCTGGAGAGCCTATATCAGGAATCACTGGAAAAGATGACTCAAGAAAATGTTTCTTCTGATAGTTGTTATAATCAAAGCAAAGTATATCCAAGGTGGGGTCACCTTTAGCATCAGAGTCCACCTGGAGTCTTTTATTTCCTTCCTAAAGTGAAAAAGAATTAATTAAAAGAAGGGCTAAGACCTCCAGCATGGTAGAGTGGGGAAGTCACCAAATCCTCTCCCCAAAAAGGCAACTAGAAAGCTGTACACAATTATCAAAAACAACCATTTCAGTTTCCTGGAAATCAACCAAAGGCTTACAGCAAACTAAGAAGCATTTATTCATGGAAAAAAAAAAAAAAACAACCTCAAAAACATTATTAAGTGAAAGAAGCCAGAGGCAAAAGACTACATATTATATAACTCCCTTTGCATAAAATATCCAGAAAAGGCAAATCTATAGAGAGAGTTCAGTTCTTGCTGGGGGGGTGGAGGGGGGTGGAAGCAAACATAAACTGCACATGGGCATGAGGGAACATTCTGCAGTGACGGAGATGTTCTAAAACTAGTTGTGGTGGTTGCACATCTCCATAAATTTACTAGAAATAATTGCACTGTACATTTACCATTGTGAATTTATGATATGTAAGTTATCCCTCAACTTGTTCAATTATACCTCAAAATTGTTACAATAAAAAAAGAATGACATCAGCACCTCAAAGAAAAGAAAGTATACATTTTCCAAGCACACATAAGACATTCCACACAGTGAGAAAAATTCTAATGCACACAGTCTGAG